GGCGGGGCTCCCGGGCTGTATCCTGTGGTCGGGGGCGGGGCTCCCGGGCTGTATCCTGTGGTCGGGGGCGGGGCTCCCGGGCTGTATCCTGTGGTCGGAGGCGGGGCTCCCGGGCTGTACCCGAAGTTAGAAGGTGGAGCCCCCGAGGTCGGGGGATGGACTCCAGGCCCGTATGACGTGGTCGGGGTTGAAGATACCATAGTTTGTCTGGTCTGCATACTGTGAGTTGGTTGACGTTGATGGCCATGGATAACTGAAACAAATAGGTTAATATTTCCTTTTTACAGAAAACAACCATGGCCAGAGACTTAATTGAGAACACAGTGATATTATACACGAAACGCTTCATATTTCAATAAGTAAAAAGCTTAAATCCACAGATCAACCTAACATCGTTTAGACGGTTATATGAGCACATTTGGAATCAAATATTATCTTTTTAGGCGGAATCATATTACAACAATATCCGTTACTCCTGAACTGCTACTTGCCTACGTAGATCATTTTATTTTGTTTTTTTTTTTTTTATGCACAGCTAACACATACAAATAACCTCTGTAAAAATAAAAGGTTCGTCATATGAAATTTTATTATACGTTTTTAATATCACTATTAAAACAATGCTACTGGTTGTATACTGACCTCCTGGAGGGGTTCGACGGCACACTTTGCGTATGACTATGAAGACCACCCCCGAAATGAACATGAAAGGTGCAAGAATAAAAACCATACTACTGTAATAGATCGAAAAAAAAGAGAAATGCATTATAATGTATTTTAGTAATAACTAATTTTAACACTTACTGAGTGGTCGGAAGGCAGACACAAGAGACCTAGTCAACTCACTTTGCCATTTTGAACATGCACATGTCCTATCTCAGTGGTCATAATGCAAGAGCTAGATACAGGCACGTACATCGTCAAAACGTTCTCAGTGCGTCTTACTTATAATTATTTTCAAACTTTGTGAAAATTTACCAAGACAGTCATAAACTTTGCGTTTTAGTCATTGAAACCGAAGCTGGGAGAACCGACCTCTACCTTTCACATCGGCCCGGCTTCGGCTTGAGATCGGTTCTCCCAGCTTCGGCTTCAGTGACTAAAACGCAAAGTTATATATATACTTTTATTATCATTATTATTAAGCTTACATATCTCCCCATTCTCCCTCATGCTCCTCATCCATACTCTTTGGAGGAATGCATAATGAAGCGGATGAGTAACTTGGGGAGTATCTACTATAGGACGAGGTGCAGCAGTATTTACTGGTAGGTGTTCCGCAGCAGTACTTGGTACAGAAGAACGAGCTCCTGTAAGTGCCATATGAGTTGTAATATGCGCAGCAATATTCTCCTGTAATTAATAGTAGGGGAACCAAGGCTAAAAAAGGGCGAAAATATTTTTTATGATATAAAATTTTCAAATATATGGACGGACAGCCTGATATCTGGGGTTTATGAATCTGCTTATTGGACAAATGGGATCAATATAAAGTATATGATGATTAACTGCTTGTTTAAACAAAAAGTCATGTTGACAGTGAGGAAATGATATATTTTGAACACATTTCTGACATTTTACACGAGTTTACGAACGCTGTGGCCTTCAGAATGCTTTTTTTTCTCCTCCAATGAAATGAGACATGTTTTGCAATCACAACTCTAGCTCTTCTTTTCATTGACATTCAGGGACCTAAAACTGCTTCATGCAAGCGGTGCTGAGCGCCCCGAAAGCACTCCGTATACAAAGGTAAAAGAAGTAAAAAATAGCTACTGATGATTTTCACTTACCTTTAATGGGTGCTGGACAAGAACTGTTATAGGAATAACTGTACAAGTATCTGTATCTGCTGGTAAGGCAGCAATACTTAGAAGTAGAAGAGCCGCAGCAGTACTTTTCACAGTAGAAAGCACTCTTGTATTTGCCTGATGATGTGTAATATGCACAGCAAAACTCTCCTAAAATAGAACATATATGATTAGTGTGACATCTGCGACTCTCGTAAAGACTTGATAATTAGGCCCTAAGCATGAAAAAATAAAAGTAGACTAGTATCCATATTTACTCGAACTATTCAATTTCAAAGGTTTTCTAATTACATGAATCAATAAGATATATATATGGATGGTCAACTTATTATCAAAGGATATACACATCGATGTTCATTTTATTTGTATGTGTGCGTATTTGATGCCCACAAAGATATTTCATAGACAGGATTCGGATCTGAAAATGAGCCTCTGCTGTTAGAAAAAAAAGCTGTTGGACCATATTATCAGTTTTGATAGTGGGTGGGTGTGTGTGTGGGTCGCCCCCCCCCCTTCCACACACACACACACACACACACACACACACACACACACAGGATTAATATTTTTCAGCATTTAAATATTCAGTCGTAAACGGTTTAAATGCAAATTCTCCCCCCCCTATTTATATTTTTTAATTATTATTTTATTGTGTGTGCGTGTCTGTGCGTGCAACGTTTCAGCAACCCTTACAAAGATGACACAAAGCATTAGCCTACACAGCAATTTACTCAGCAGTGGCTATACGTGTACTAGCAATATCATACCTACCTCTTGTAGGGGTGCTACATTGGTAACTGGCCGAATAACTGTATATATATCTGTCATGGCTGTCCGGACAGCAGTATTTAGACATGGAGGACCCGCAGCAGTAGTCTGGGCAGTAATATGTACTGACGTATTTGCCAGAAGTATTATAATGGGCGCAGCAATATTGTCCTGACTCTTCCGGCCATGAAAAAAAAGGTGAAAACCTTTACCCTTTCGATGACGCACAAAATTGAAACAGATATCTTAACAGTTCACTTTGGAAGTCACTAACGGGAAATCAACCTACCTGCTTGAGTCGCCAGCCTGATAAAGACCCAAAGAGAGACTAAACCCACATTCTTAAGGATCGTCATATGCCTGGTCTTATACCTTTCGATTTATTTTTTACATTAACTGCATAACTGCTCAATTTTTTTTTTCAAAACGAAAAGATATGACAATTTGGCCCCCCCCGATTCGGACAAGATGGCGATTCCGGTTGGCGTCACTGCGTATAGCGCACGATTCCACGTGCATGACGTCAAACGTAATAGAACACGTGATAAAATAGAAGGGACCGGCTTTGACGAAATTTCAGTCAATGTAGGATTTCCCCGCGGAAAACATAGATCTCTACACAATTTCGTAGATCTTTCTTTGCCTAGAGAGCACACGAAAAAAAAATCACATTTATCTATGCAGTGTTCCGTATTTTAATAATCTTTTTATAAATAAAAGTGATCATTTAAAGAGGAAAATTTGTAATTTTTAAATGGATTCATGAGGCTGAACCTAAATGTTTTTAAAATGACGACTCCATGGAAGCCGGCATATGTGGCACTTTCGGTCATAACCAACAGTGTACTAATTAATATACCCGAAAAAGCGAACGTATTACATCGTGATAAATTTATGATGTTAGTATTTCATAACATGTAAATTGATTGCATGTCACTTCATATAATGCCATTTGATATAGCCCTATGTAGGCCTACTTTATCAACTCTTTAGGCCTATATGATAATAAGGCTATATAAAATAAAATCATCATGATATTGTCAATTCGGTTACAGAGCCTTCCCTATATAAGTCATATCCTTGTGGCAAGATCAGTAGGCCTATAAGATGAACTTCCTGAATTTTGATTATTTGAATCTTTAGTTCAAGTGTGCGTATTATCAACTATGAGCCGACGATATCACATTGTCATTTAATCATAGAACTCTGCAAATATTTAGTTTTCGAATTGTTGGCATAAAAACCAACAAATATATCCATTTTAGAAAAAGGTAAAATAACCAATACATCTGCATATATAATGAATTCATGATGTGAAATGGGCCAAAGGTAGCGTATTATTGAATTCATTATATATTTGTATAAGTATATATACTTTAGCAATACATTTTATACCATTACACTATGTTTAAATGCTTTTTGGCTTTTTGGCTATTGCGTAAATGGGTCACATTAGTCGCT